TGGCCAGATGTAATTAAAATTTATCTTACACACTGTTCCTTCAACTCATCATATTTATTTCCAATGATGCTAACTATGTCCGGGACCCTTAACATGCAATAAAACAGTTTAAGTCTAGGTATCATGCTGTTAAATACCTAAATCCCTTAAACACAGGCTCTGATACCAATTTCTGTAACACCCCATTCCACATATTGCATATAACACATACTTCATACATAAGAAATACATGTTTGTACACAACAAAGGTCCCTTAGTACAAGAATTTACCATTACAAAATACACGGTCCAAAAAGTCAAAATACAATTCTTGTGCTAATCAAGTTTCATCTACCAAAACTATACATATCATCAGCAATTCTTCATGCAGATAAACACATAGGGAAATATTACATCTTTCTCTTCCCTTTACCGTCTGCCCTTCTTGCAATACATATTTAAAATCACAAAACGATGGTTAGACCAAAAGGTCTAGTGAGTTACCCTATTTATGTTATTGCAGGGTGAAAATCACCAAAACTTTTATGTAAATCCACTTTTCATATATGAACAGTAAGAACATAATACTAGTACCTTTTACTATTCAAGCCCAATTCTTTGCTTGCAAACAACACATCATACCCAAATAGGTTTGTACTAAACAGGTGTATAATAGTGTCGCTTTTAAACCTTTCTAATTAAACAAGGTTTATACAAAGTTTCAGGCCAAACCTGTTATTCCCTTCTCAATAACATCCAAACTATGATTTCCAATAAGAACCTTGACCCTAAACCTTTAAATCACAAAGAAATAAGGATTCCGGATCACAGTAATCTTAAAGGATATAATAGTAAGAGTTATATCACATAACACACATACAAATACCACCCTTATATCCAAAGTTACACCTTTCCTTAATATGTCACCCTTATCTCATGGTACACCTCTCCTTGATATGTCATCCTTATCCCATGGTACACCTCTCCTTGATATGCCACCTTTATTTCCTCATCAAAATATTTCACAAAAACAATTCCATATAAAATAGACCGCAGTCAATGGAATAATATCAGTTCGAAATCATTTTTCTCAAAATTCCCATTTCTTGTTACAAGAATCAACGTAATAATATGTCAATACATAATCCGGTCAAACCTTGGCCGGACTACTAATCCGGACAACACTTCATTTTGTCTGATTTAACACTATTCATGCCATGACCGATTTAACAATCCGGTCATTCCATAGTCGTATTCCTACTTCTCCGATTTTAACACTTAACATAATTCAAAGTTCATAAATCGCTCAATTCATAAACCGGTTAACACAATTGATCGATTTATTTTTAAACCGGTTAAGACATGTCCGGGTTAATGTCTAATCCGCTTGACTCTTGTCCGGTTTAAACCGGTTGATATACCGAGCGATTTAACCTTAATCGCTCACATTTTGTCCGATATATATATATATATATATATATAAATCGCTTAACATTTGCCCGATATATATTTAAATTGCTCGACACTCATACAGTTTAAACTTCAAACCAGGTAAAAAGTTTATACAAACAACTTATGCATTTCAAAGGGATTAAAACATTTAAATCACTCACCTTGAAATCTTTTTGAAAACCAGCCACTTGAAATTCAACTTGTAATCTAATCAAGACAATTCGGTCACTCTCTCTTAACTTTAAATAGCACACCCTTTTTCCAAAAATGGCAAGAAGAATGTAATGGAGGCTAAGACCCTCCTTATATACTTTCTAAAAGAAGTATGGTGGCTAAGCCGCCCTCCTCTCATGCATGTATGTTTATGTATATATATATATATACCCAAATCCATGCACATATAACATGCATACATGCATATAATCATGCATACTTATGCAACCTTCACAACTATTATTCATGCATGTATACACATTTATATATTTATATATTCATACATGCATTCTCATGCATATAATTTCACATACCAACATGATCAAGTATAACAATTTATCATACTGTCACATAAACATTCAACAAATAAACACGTATTAATTACCTCAGGTGATTATCAAGACCCGATTATCACAAAAGGCTCACATACCACTAGGTCAAATGCCCTTTGGTTATAATAGCTTTTTTTGAGTAAGCGTGGTTTCCGTGTCATCTTACGCACACTGATTAATCCCTCGAGCACCACAAATGGCCTAGAGTCATTGCAGGAGAACCTCCATGACTACATGGGTTTTGACAATGCTTGGATTCGAACTCAAAGTAGATGATATTTCCATTACATCCCTTAAAGGTTAATAAGTACGCCACAACCCAAGTGGTTAGAAAAAGCCAAAAAGGTATAGTAGCTTTGATGCTATTTTAAATGATGGATTTGAAAAAGTAGTTATCTTTTCTTTTCTTGAATCACCATGAAGTATTTGTTTTTGGTATGGAACAAATGGTTGAAAATCGTACCACAAAAAACTAGAATTAGCTGAAAGATACAAATGTTGTGGAAAATTTCCTAGAGTCTTGCATTTTTGACGTTGACATGAACGGTAATGAATGTGAAAGTTTGATTTCTGAAGGCAATTTCATGGGATTCTTAAAGCACTTCCATTTACAAAATAAAGAAACAATGCCTTTATTTGCTTCGTCAGGCATAATTTTATAATAAAATGTAATATTTAGATCAACTATTTATGGATTGCAACAAAGACAACATATGTACCAACGAAGAAGAAAGCAAAATAAATGGATAAGAAGAACTAAACAAAACACTGACCGATCTTGTTAGCACATGGTATCTGATTAATTTCCCCTACCAAACTATGATGTTCAAGTATTTTAACTTATAAGTGTCTTCTATTATGTTGTGATATTATTATTGAATTTGTATCATTATGTTAAATCAAGTTATTGTTGGTTTAATATAAAAGTGCATTTAAACTGTTATCTTTTTTATCATTCCGCATTTACATTTAGTACATTTATCAAACAAAAAGTTCAATCAATATAGGGATGTACATTAGCTGGAAACTATAATAAAATGAAACTGAAACCAAAAACTAAAAAATAACCAGAGACGTCCAATTTTTTTGGAGGCCCTGTTGCATCCATAACTTTTGATGACATTGCATAAGAGATAACATCATACATACATGTTAAGCGCAAAAGGACGCTAATCTTAAACGATCAACAATCTGAACCTAACATAAATCTAAACCATTTATAATTTGCTTTTAAACCTAAACAATTAACAATTTGAACCTAAACAATTTGGGCTATAGCTTTACACAAATTGATGAAAATGTCCTAAACATATGTAAAATTGGGCTCCAAAATTTTGAAGGCTATGTTCAAAATCTCACATTTAACATGTGTGTTTTATGTAAACATAATGTTTTTTTTTTGTAAATGTTTGCTTATGGGCCGTTTACCTAAATGCCAACACTATACAACACTATAATTTATTTTACCAGGTAAAATTGTAGTACATCAAAATGGTATCATATGCAACAATTTACCCGGTAAGCACTTACTCGGGTAACAGTCGTCACCCTCACTTATCGAGTAAGACTCTCCATCTTTATCGTTGCTCTTACCGAGTAAGATTTTTGATCCTTGCCCTATTTATCCGGTAAGAAAAATTACCTGATAAACACTTACTGATTAAGCGTTTATCTTGTTTTTGAAAAGAAAAGGGGTAAAATTAAAAGCAAAAATGCATGATTTTGGATTACTGTTTTTGGATTAAAGACAAATGCATTACAGGTTGAAGTCATAATCAGCTTCAACCACTTTTGACTTCTTAAAACCATTCAATTATCATAAACAAAATTATTGCTATTGATTTTGTTTCACTTTTATTTTAAATGTAAATTCATGCACCTAAAACACTTAAAAGTGAATTTCATTTGCTTGAAATGGATGTTTTCAGACATCAATTTATGAAAAGACGAAAAACATTTTAGACCACATAATTCATTAAAAAATAATATAAATATAAAATGAAAATACTTTTAAAATTAGGATAATTATCATTTTTAATGGAATTAGAAATGAGTTGGGTTGCGGTGAGCATGAGAGTTAAGGTGAAAAGTGTAAAAAGGGATATCCATCAGTGAATGCATATTAGGATGAGATGCATCAGATCAATTCCCTTTTAAAGCAAAATTCATGATGAGCATGAGATTAAAAGTGATCAAATGTTCAAATCTTTTCTTACATTTTTCACTCTAACTTTTCTTCTCATACAATCCTTCACCATCAAAAATTCTATTGAGGGTAATACTAGAACAAAAAATTATTTAAAACCTTTTAGAGTCTCGTTACATCCTTTATATTGAGGTATAACAAATTATTCAAATTTATCTTCAAATGAAAAGGAGGAATATTATAACCCTCCAATTGACCGACATAAAAATGGGATGCTTTTTTAGAAAGATGTGCATATCTCTATAACATACTAACTCGATCGACATTGTAAACCTTAGTTAAAGTTCTGCAACAACCTACATCTTTATGTAATTATTGAAGATTTTCTCAAACCTCCTTACATAACTTAAGTCATATTTCGAATCTGCTCATCTCTGAACCAAAGATCTAATATGAACATACACAAGTAATCTGTTTGTGTGCGTTAATTTAAAGCTTCAACTTGAACAACCAAACAAAAAAATTAGCAAAAGCGACAATACCCATAGTAGAAGGGATGTGTGTAATTTAGGGGCACTTTTTTATTTAAATGTTTTGTCCGTTTGTATATAATGTTTTGTCCATTTGTACATAATATTTGATCAACTTACACAATAACATAATTTTACAAAAGTTAAAGTAAAATTAATTATCAAAACGTCTCTTAGTTAATCAATGGACTTCATATGGGTCGTTTATTCGATAAATATTTAACAGGTAAGAATGATTTTAAACATTTTGATTATTATTATTATTATTTAAAAAAGTAATGACATGGGAGAAAGAGCTTATTCAAAAAGTCGTACTAAAAAAAGTCTTCCCTCCATTCACATTTGGTCATTCCACCCATATTTAATGCGCCAAACGTTTCTGACCCTTCTCTACATCTCCTCCCATTTTTCAAATCAATCGCTCCATGCCCTTAACCACACTCATTACCACTAACACTATCAACAAAAAAGGTGCCTTCTTTGCCATTTTCAAGCTTTGGATTCTTCTATTCACGGATCTATATTTTATATCTGGATGATTCAGGTCAAAATGGGTAGTGCTTGTTTTGATTCCTTGTGGGCTCTTTCACTTGTTTTCCCTAATCAAAAGGTACCCCCTTTTTCCTTCAATTTTTACTGTTCCTTTCCTACCTTTCTTGTTCTTGTCTCACTCCCCAAATTTATGATTGCTTCTGCCAACTATACATGGGTTTTGATCTATCTTTGCAAAGTTTCGACTTACTTGCATCAATGTCGTCTGAGTCATCGGATAAGAAATGTTGATTTGTGGGTTTTTTTGTTTGATTTCGTCCTTGAATCTTGATAGGCTCCTGTTCAGTTCACATGTTTCTACCCACTTACAGTACTTGATAATAATTCAAACATAGGTTCTGGATTCTTTTGGAAAACAGTCAGAGAAGCTCATTAAATGAATGATGTTATTCCCTTTTAGATGATTACTGATGTTATCCACTTTTATACATTCTATAAGATGAGGTATCTGATAGCCATTTTTTATGTTTGTTATCTTGAAAAGAACTCAGATGTAAGGAGGCAGGATGAAACTCAAACATTGGGTTGATAGACATAGAACCAGCTTGAGTGGGAGGCTAAGAAAGATGATGATGAAATGCTTTTATTCGGGTGAACGATTAGAGGCGAAGGAAACGAATGCTTCATCGGAATCGTTAGCCACGAGGGATTTTTCAGCCAGTGGGTATTCTTCTCGAGCCGGTGAGCCTGATCCTAAGTTGGATAACAGCAATATAGAAGAAGCCGAATCCTCTCTTCGTGAGAGTGGTTTTCTCAACTATGAGGTAATTTTCTCCATTTCACTTCACACTTCTGTTGCATTTTTTAACATAACATGATTCTGAAACATACTGTTTGATCACCCATAACAATAACCTATGTACCATACACGTATGGTGGTTGCCTGTTTATTGCTACACTACAACTAAACCGGCTTTACCGGGCACCAAATATGTCTACATATCATAATACATTGCTTTATATGACTTGAGTTACAGGACCAAATAATTGTGCATTCTATGTAAAACTATTACAATAAGTTTTTTTTAAGACGCTTTTGGCTAGCCTTAACAAGCTTTTAGGACACTTTTTGGATTAAAGCATCCTATTGGTATATTACGTTATCTGAAAAAGGTCTTACAAAAAACAATGTCCTGTAAAAAAAATGTGTTCATAGGACCCATTTAAAAAATGCCATATATAAAAAGACTAATAGGCCGATTTATTTTAAAAGGGTCACAAAATACTTATTAGGACACCCAAAAACGTATTATTAACTTATTGTAACACCTTTACATTGTGGGCCCTATAAAGCAGTTTAGTAGGACATTTACACATATTTGGAGCCGTCCTATAAAACCAATTTTGTTGTAGTTGTGAGCAGCTGATATATTTTTGCAATTTATAGGAAGCAAGAGCCTTGTTAGGTCGATTAGAGTATCAAAAAGGAAATGTAGAGGCTGCCCTTCATGTTTTTGAAGGAATTGACATTGCTGCTGTTACACCGAAGATGAAAAATTCGCTTGCTAGAAGATCTGAACCACCTAGACGCCATTCTCAAAGTGATGCGGCCCCACCAATGTCGATACACGCTGTCAGTTTACTCTTTGAAGCTGTTTTTCTCAAATCGAAGTCATTGCAGGCCCTGGGACGGTTTAGAGAAGCTGCTGAATCGTGCAAAATAATACTAGATACGGTCGAATCTGCATTGCCCGATGGATTTCTTAACTTTTCTTCAGATAGTAAACTGCAGGAAATTCTAAATAAAGCTGTTGAGCTGTTGCCTGAACTCTGGAAACTGGCTTCGGATCCACAGTCAACCATTTTGTCATATAGGCGTGCCCTTCTCTACCACTGGAATCTTGATCACAAAACACGAATGTATATTGAAAAAGAGTTTGCTATATTTCTTCTGTACAGTGGTTGTGATGCAAACCCTCCAAACCTTCGATCCCAGATGGAAAGTTCCTATGTACCCAAGAGCAATCTAGAAGAAGCCATTCTTTTGCTACTGATTCTTCTAAGAAAGATTGTTATCGGGATAATAGAGTGGGACCCATCAATCTTTTATCACCTTTCTTTTGCACTATCAGTGGCGTACGACTTAAGATCACTTGCTCATCAGATCGAAGAATTCCCACCTGGGATCATTGCAAGAAAGGAAAGGTACAGCACTCTGGCACTATGCTACTATGGCGAAGGTGAAGAAACCGTGTCTCTAAATCTATTGAGGAGTTTGTTTAATGATAAAGAGAACCACCATAATTGCGTATTTGAGATGTTACTTGCTTCCAAGATTTGTGGAGGGCATTCGGATTCCCTTGAAGAAGGAATTGCATACCTTTACAAACTACTCCAGAAATTCGAGGGAAACTGTGAGCAGATGATTAGTGTTGCGAATTTTTTTCTTGGGATCTCCCTTTCAGCACAATCAAGAAATGCTAATTTGGATTCTCAGAGGATTTCAATGCAATCTGAAGCTGTGGAATCACTTGAAACTGCCAACAAGATGATGAAACAAGAAGATCCCAACGTTCTGTTTCATCTTAGCCTTGAACACGCAGAACAGAGGAAGTTGGATATTGCTCTATATTATGCAAAGCAGCTTGTGAAGGTTGAGGCTGGAGCTAGCGTAAAAGGATGGATTCTTTTAGCACGTATTTTATCAGCTCAAAAACAATATGTTGATGCTGAGAATATTGTAGATGCTGCTATAGATGAAACCGGGAAGTGGGATCAGGGAGAACTGTTGAGAACTAAAGCTAAATTGCAGATTGCACAAGGCCATTTAAAGAACGGCATAGAGACATATACACGTCTTCTTGCAGTTCTTCAAGTTCGCAGCAAGAGCTTTGGGCTCCACAAAAAACTGTCAAAGATGGTACAATGTTACCTTCCTGTTTTATTTTTTTATAATTTCGTCAAACAAATCAAAGCAGGAATGATTCTACTTTCCCTAGTACAGATATATGGAAAGGAAAAGAAAGGAAGTTTTTTATTTGTGTTCTTGAAAGGGAACGGAAGGAGTGGAAAGGGAACAAATTTTCATGTTCTTAGACCGGATAGAAAGGAAAGATGTCACTTTTACTAATATACCTCTTATTTTTATTTTTCTCACTTCTCTTTACGAGGGTATTTTTGTCATTAAAGATCACAGATTTCAGATTTTCTCTCTCTTTCTTCCCTCGTTGAGAGGAAAGTTTTTGGAAACAAATGATATTTTTCCTTCTAAAAAGTTCAGAAAACACATGGTCTTTTTGCTTTCCCCTCATTCTCCTCTCTTTCCTTTCTTTTCCTTCAGAAAAAGGTTTTGAGAACACAGTGTCGTCGGTTTGGATGAAACTGGTTGATTGGTCACCCATTTAAACCCTTTTCATTTGGTATGGTAGAAGAGGAGCAACAAAGAAAGAGGTCTAGAAATGGAAATATGGCATGATCTTGCAAACGTTTACACTAGTTTATCGCAATGGCGTGATGCTGAAGTCTGTCTATCAAAATCTAAGGCCATCGATCCTCATTCTGCATCCAGATGGCATTCCACAGGTACAAAACTAGCATCATTTCTAATCCCCCTTTCTAACACTATATACAGATCACCAAGATTTGGCCAGTTGAGGCAAATTTGGCATTTTCTTTTATGCAAGATACTCAAACATGCTTTCTGACTTTCTAGGCTTACTCCATCAAGCCAAAGGCCAAAGGGAAGAAGCATTAACTTCATTTGAGAAGGCATTAGATGTTGATCCAAATCATGTTCCAAGCCTAATATCAACTGCCATCGTTCTCAGAGAACTCAGTGATCAATCGCTACCAGTTGCCAAAAGCTTTATAACCGATGCACTAAGGGTTGATCGGACTAACCCTCGTGCATGGTACAATCTTGGTCTGGTATACAAGGCTGAGAATGGTTGTTCAGCCCTAGAAGCTGCTGAATGTTTTGAGGCTGCAATTATGCTTCAAGAATCTGAACCTGTTGAACCCTTCAGATGAAAGTCACACCCCAAATCTCAACAGCAATGGTCACTAATTTGACCTTTCGTTTTGTTACAAGATGATTTGCTTCTATGCAAGATTGTTTTTTAGTTTATACAGTAATAGGTATAGCAAGAAAATTGCACCAGCCAATGATGGCATATGATCTTTTTTTGTCTTGATAGTTTCTTTTGTATCCAGTAGCTGTAAAGAGGGTGGCAGCCCTGTGTTCTTGTTTTCATTTATGCAAGTATTGTAGCTCATTTCCCATGTCTATGACAGTATCTATTCTATTTCTAGTTTCTATGTATCATGTATCCAATTGGGAAATTGAGTAATGGAAACTGACAGAGGCAACTTGTCTTAGAAATCTAGGGTTAGGGTTCATGAGAAATCAATCTAAAATAAATCTCTTCGGGTATATTTCAAGTGGGTTACACGAAATTTACTCAAGAATAATCCAGATTTACACGAAATTGGGTGGTTATGAGAAGTTATAAACAATCGCAACAATTAGATGGTTATCAATTAGTAACACTCAGCGTCATCCCTGACCCCTGAGTGAACAATCATTGATCAACATCAATGCGTAATTACTCACTGATAAGACCACCAATAAAAGGTGGTCACTGATCAGTGACCTCAAACATTGAAACAAATCAGACTATAAACATACGTAAGTATGTATGTATGGGGCTCTGCCCTTGACTCGGAAGGGGCGTGCCCCCTTATCCTCACCATTTGTTGCAATCCCATGTTCAAATTAACTTATATAAGTGTATACTTTGCACCACGTAACCCGTATTGTAGCTTACTAAGAACCTTTCCATTCGCTTGCAAATCCAATTACACCAAATGCCAGAGGACACTTATGATTAAAAAAAAAAAATCATTAGCCTCTTAGGTCTAATTCGTTAAGAGGCAGGGCTATGTAGACGGGTTTTTTAAATTTTATAGAGACACTTATGTCTTATTCTCCTCTTATCCGATAAAAGGTAAACCAACCTCTTATTTGCCTCTTATTGTTCTCCAAACCCTTAGCAACGACGTTTCTCAATCGATTGACCTTGATTGATCATTTCTATCAATCGATCTTTATCAAATCGATCCTCACCCCTCTCAATTGATGTATTTTAATAGTTTTTAAATGTGTTAAATACCGTTAATGACATATTTTCGTTTAAATGAATGCTAATTATATAATTTAGATGTAAATTTCGTAATAATGATGAATAAATATGTAAAATTGTATAAATTTATCTATAAATTCAACACTATAATTTTCTAATGAACAAAATAGACTATTTAAACAAATTCAGACATTTATTAGTATACAAAAACAGTCTTATTATTTCAGATTTTAAACTTTAACACCACCATTTATTAATCAGAAGTGAAATAAGACTTCAGACTTCAGCACCCTCCTAAAAGAACAAATGCTACCTAAAATCACCAACAACTTGTAACACAATATCATTGAAAAATGGAAAATGTGAGTAACATCTTTAACAACAAAAACAACATTGTGCAAGGAAATCAAAACTATTTCTTGCTAAGATCAATTCCAGCTTTCTTGGCAACGGCATCTAGCCCGTTTTTCTCTATGGTCTTTAATGCCTTGGTCGAAAGCCGCAGCTTCACGAAGCGCTTACCAGCCTCCCACCATACTCTCTTGTACTGTAAATTCACAAACTGCAGCTTCTTTGTCTTGTGATTCGAGTGGGAAACAAGATTCTTCCGGTTCGATTTCTTTCCAGTGAAGGGACAGATTCTACCTGAAAATTTTCCATTCAATCAACACTCTTCTTTTATCTCCAACAAATCTTCAAGTTAACTATAAGGTCCCGTTTGGTTTGCAGGAACGGAATGGATTTGGGGGATTTGAATTTCAAATCCATTTCAATCCCATATATTTGGTTTGTTGGATTGTCCAGATTTGAAATCCTAGGATTTAATTGAAATACTACAAACATAGGATTTTGAAATCCTTAGAGGATGCTCGGGATTTCACGGGATTGTATGAAATAAGGTTTTAAAAAATGTTAAAAACATTTGTTTTGTAATAATCGATTAATAAAAATATAATTTTTAATTATTTTTATAAATAATGGAATCCGATTTCATTTCAAATCCTACTAACCAAACACTGTTTCAATCCAAATACCTCAAAAAAACAATTATACAAACCAAACCAGATCAACTTAACTAACAACTTCCAGCAGCACAGATACGTTCTAGTAATTGGAATCAATCCATTCATGAAAGAAGCAAAAATGATCAAGAACATACACACTAAACAGCCAATACTCAAGTAGATATTGCACAAAGCATATTCAAACCAACCAATTGCCATCACACTACAGAAAAAGCCAGATTTGGTAAATTTCTATCAACTAAAATCATCGAAGAAAACCTATTTACGATGAAAGAAATCAAGAAAATGAAGATAAATCCTTTTAAAATACACATAGAAATTGTATATAATCAAATTCAGCCAACCCAGAAAGGGAAATTGAGAGAGAGAGAGAGAAAGAGATTACGAGCAACTGGCTGAATAGGAAGCTTGATTGGTGAAGAAAGCTTGTGAGGCGAAGCACATTGATGGTGAGATATCTTGAGGCCACTCAATTGAGAAGTAACAAACCCTAGCTCCGAAACCTCATTGGAATTGGGCTTCAATCTTACAGCAGAAGATTGGGGCTTGAAGAAGCATGTAATAGAAGCCTTTCCCGTCGCCAGACCAAACGACGCTGCAACTAGCGCCATCTTTTATCAGAGTTTCGTTCTCCTTATCTTCTTCAAAACAGAGAGTTGGGTGGACTAGCAAATGGGTATTCCCTATCTTATGTTACTGCATCTGCTTCGGTTTTTATTTGTACACATTCACCCCCTTGAGATTGAAGAATTGCAAAAACCAAGCAGATTTGTTAAATTTCTAATAATCTGGTCATTTCATGTTTCAAAGACTTCACTGCCTTTTACCAAATCCTTACCAAATAAGCACTTACTAACGAAAAACACCATCCTAACTTACCTTATTAGATGGCATTCTCGTTCATCAAAATGGACTGTTAGTAGACATTTTTTACCCAGTAAGCATTTATTGAGTAAAAGTTTTTTCCTCACTTACCAAGTAAGATTATCGGTCCTTGTTATACCTCTTACATGTAAGATTCTAGATCTTTGTCATACTCCTCTCGAAGGTATGTGACACTCAGTGAACTTTTAATTAAGTAAGCATTTGGTAAACGACCTATTCGTAAACTAATAAAATCCTCATGGTACCAAAATTCAAAGTCTTATTTGTCTAGATAAGTTTGTCTGTGGAAAGGACGGAAGACCGATGGCTTTGAGGGAGGAAAAAATAGAGGTTTGGATGTTATTCACCTATTGATTTGGTGATGTCCCTCCAATATGTCCTACTATTCTATCAATATTTGGTAGTTATCAGAATCTTTGTATATCGGTTTTTGGTACAAATTTAAAGTCAATGGCAAAATCGAAAATTAGCCAAAGTGAAGATAGAAGGTCACCAATGTGGTGATGTGGATCAAATGTCTAAAACATACATCAAGACCCTAAGTACTAGGATTAACAATACCCAATTAAAAAACATGCTTCTTCCATCTAATCATTCCAAACAAAAATTTTCCCAATCCATATAGACAGACTAATCTACACATACATCTTTATTCATACAAGATTTAATGAAAAACCAACCAAACATCCCCTTAGTTGGACTAGCAAGAAGCAACACTTTGTGTCCACCTCAACAACCAAAGTTGAATATGTTGATGCGGGTAGTTGTTGTGCACAAGTTGTTTAGATAAAAAATCAGTTAGCTGATTATGATCAATTGTTTTCAGAAATTTCTATTTCTAGTGAAAATTCAAGTGCAATAGCTATTACCAATTATCCAGTCCTTGACTCTCATACTTAACACATTGATATTTCAACATTGCTTCATTAGAGATCATGTGATGAAAATTGATGTTGAATTTCATTTTATTCTTACTGACTATCAACTATTCAATTCACTGATTTGTTTACCAAGCCTCTCGATAAAATTAGGTTTAATTTTCTAATTGGAGAATTGGAAATGTTACACGTTGACAATTAAATTTTTAAGTATATGCTAACTTATTTACATTAACTAGTTACACTTATTAATTCTATATTGTCTACTGTTAACATTTTAAAAATAGTTTTTAAAAGAATAATATTTATTCAAAGTCTTCGATTTTATCATTGGTTTGTTATTCAGTTTTCGAAAAAGATTTATCATGCTACAATAAAAAGAAACTATTTTAATTGCAATTATCGAGTATAAGAAAAAGAAACTAATGTGACTTTTGTCTTTTAAGAAGTATTGAAGTTTGAAGTCTTATTTCACTTCTGATTAATAAAAGGTGGTGTTGAAGTTTGAAATCTGAATCAATAAGACTGTTTGTTTTTGTAAACTGATAAATGTCTTGATTTATTTAAGTTATCTATTTTACCCATTAGAAAATTATTAGAAGCGTACTCGCGTAATACAGCGAGATACATCGTAATTTTAATATTTCATTTTATTATTTATCTCAGTCGATGTTATAATATGACTTTATGTGATTTTGAGAAAGCGGTGATGTTTTTATTTTTGAATAAAATATATGTTTGAAGATATCATAAAAATTTGATAAAAATATATCGATATTAGTATCAAATTAACTAGTTGAAATTCCTCATTTTTTGTATAATTTTTTAATTCAATTTTTTTATAATTTAATTTATGTACAATAACGAAGTAATTTATATTTGGTTTAATAATATAATTTTTTTATAAAGATAATAATTATTTATTTTGTTGGAACTCGATAATTATYCTAATTATATTTTAGATTTTTTATATTTTAAAATRAGATGTTYATCCTCTRTTTGATTATATTTMTCCRYAATKAGTTATACGAATTCAAAAATCGAGYTTTGATAAGTTGTACTTTTGCATAATTTACTTGTAATCTTGAATTTTAAGTAAACATTGGTTTTATGTGGTTTTGAGAAAATGGTAATATTTTTGTTTTTGAATATTTTTAAATTTTTAAATATATCATAAAATTTTGAAAAAAAAATATCGATATCAGTATTAAATTAATCTTTTTAAAAGTTATTGTGTTTTGGTGTAATTTCATTAATTAAATTATGTTAGTTATCAATGATTATCATAATTATATTTTATATTTTTTATATTTAAAATGTGATATTTATCCAATATTTGATTATTTTTATCTGCAGTTAGTTAGACGAATTCAAGTATGGAGCTTTAATAAGTTGTACTTACGCATAATTTACTTGTAATTTTAAATTTTAAGTAATATGCATCAATAAACAATACTTCGTGCATAAAAAATTGTTTTTAAAAGTTTTTGTCAAATGTTTTATAATATAGTATAGATAGTATAGATTATGTGTTTTAAAAAAAAATAATAATGATTTTATTTTTGAATAAAATATAAATTTGAAGATCTCATAAAAATTTAAAAAAATATATATCAATGTTAATGTCAAATCAACTATTTAAAAGTTTTCATTTTTTATGTAAGTTCTTTAATTTATTTTTTATTATAATTTAATTTAAGTTTAATAATGAAATAATTTATTTTTGTTTTAATAATATAACATTTTATAATTTTTGTGGACTAGTCCGATTTTATTGGCTCCAGGATGGATGGATCGATCCTAGGATTACCCACCATGTGACCGTGGTTAAATTCACGGGGGACTCGGGGTGTGTGCCTGCACGCCGGCCCGATAGTTCGTGTGGTTTGGCCACCCCACGAACACTACAGGAATTGACGAATTGTGTTTAAATGATGTTTTGAAATGAGAACTGTGAAACGTCTTGATTTTCTATGAATTCAGTTTCATTGATTTTTAAGTCTTCCGCTTTATTATCGATGTTACGTATTATTATTTCAAGTTTATATTGCAATCTGTTCACTGAGCCCCATGCTCAGCCGTGTTCTTGTTTCTTGACACGGCAGGTTCCAAGTGATTTTGATAAGGGACGGGACTTGAGATCGAGCGTTTGATTTTTTGGAGTTTGTAAACTCGTTGGTAGATGTATAATATTCTAAGCTTATAAATAGTTGTTAGAATGTAATATTTTGGATTGTAAAGCATGTTTTAGAAGTTAATCTACGTTTGGAGTTTATTAGTAGCTCTGCAATGTTTGTATCTTTGAATTAAGTCCCGTTAGTAACACCGCCGATTCCGGACCACGTGGACGGGGGATGTTACACATATACTTACCATCAATTGTCAATCTTTCATCTCTCCATCAATATGGGATACATAAAGCTCAACCTCAATGGAAGAAATATAGAATACTCAATTCTTAGAGTGTCATATCATTTCTTATAGATCTTACTTTTATATATAAAGATAAAGAAGATTTCGCATTTACTCCAACCATCTTCTGTTAACGTTCCGGACTTTCTTTCGACAACTCACTCACTCCTCTCGATTACCTACTCATTGCTTTTAGTGTCGAAAGTCTCTACAATTTTAGTGGTTTATGGAATGATTTCGATATTTAACACATACGTTTATTTTGGAATATTGTTAATTTTATCATACTATGTATTCTATGTTGTCATTAATAGTGTCTTACTAAGAGTTTGCAAATAACTCAAAAATACCAAATAACCCAAAAACATTTAATCCAAACCTCATTCAATTCAAATAAGTTAGCCGACATTGGATTTTTTTTTTCTAATACCCGTAAGTGTCCTTGACCACATGACTTTCTGGATCCGGCACTCCTTATATCTAAACCACATTGTAAACTCGAAACCTTCCGATGTCAAACGAAATCGAACCCTACATTACCGCTAAGCATATTCGGACAACGTAGTGAATAATTTATGCATTATTTGTCTGATTGATGATGAAGTTAAAAATAAAAAAAGAGAATGATATTTCTGCCGATTTTTATTAAGAAATAAATAAGTGTACGTTTAAATCACACAGTCACTAACTATATGTACAAAAAATATGGTAAACAGAAATTTAGTCTATAAATAATTTGAAAAGATATTAACCGCTCGTTAATTTATATATATATATATATTACTATAAAGAATAATTTGTTATTATAAGATGAATGATGTCTACAAATAACAAAAGCAAATACTCTCTTTGTCCCAAAATAAGTGTCCCCGTTTATATTTTAGTTTGTCCAAAAGTAAATGTCCACTTTCAAAAAAATAATGTCTATTTTCCAACTCTACTCTTAATTATGAGATAGAGAATTCATTAATCTTTCAATTATGAATGATATAACTGTCATTTAGTTCATTAAAAATTGTAATGATAACATGTTTATAAAATTGTGGATATGTATTTTGGGATATATCATGTATTAATACAAATTTCAAAGTACAAATCAATAAGTAAATGTTTTTAAATACTAATTGATAAATGTTATTTACCGTAATTAATATTCTAATTATTATATTGATGATATATATATATATATATATATATAT